TGTTCGTGCGTTGACATAGTCGGCAACAAGCTGACCATCCATGCGCTCGAAAGCGTGATTGACTCCCAGCCCTTGGTCCAGATCGTCTTCAGAAATCGCCTTTGCTTTCTGCTTCTTCTTCTCTTTGCGTTTGGCCTTCTTGGCTGCTTTTTTGCCGTCCTTGCTGGCTTCGGGCTCGGCTTGCCGTTTCCTTTTCTTCGACGACGCGTCAAGATCGAACTGGGCTTCCATCAGGGGCACGCCTCCCTCTGATTCCGAGTCGGACATGGTGAGACTAGTGTTTTGTGTGACGGCGCGACACCTGAGTTCGCGACGGAAAAAGTTGCAGCGCATCGAGCTTCAGCTGCTATCGATAAGCGGCTAGCGCAGATGCACGCCGGGGAAGTCGCGCTACCTTGGTAAGCGACGCGTTTCCCTGACGCCCATCAACACCCGCCTGGGCACCCACCTCGCCTCTCGCATGCCTCTCTTGCCATGGCCGAGTCTGCGCGCAAAACGCAGCGCCTTCCCCTGCGGCGCGACTTGCAGCCGACACCCGACAACGACGCGTCCATGGAGCCCACGACACCCTCCCACCAGGCCACTAGTGTGGGCCCTACTCCAGCAAGCAGACGGACGCCAGCTCTTCGCACACCAGCATCGGGCGCGACACCGCGGGGCGGACCGGCAGCTCGCCCTCTTCCTTCGCGCAGGATTGCACCCACTACTCCCCACGCGATACGAGCCCTGAGAGAGCGAGCCAATGCGGCAAGGACGCCAGGAAACACCCGGAGACGAAGCGGCCGCGTACAGAGGGAGACACCGCGGGACATACTGCGCCATCTTAGCAGAGGTACGGCTCTTGCAGCCGCCATCTCTGACCTAGCTAACTGTCCACGCAGCCCTCGCTCGTGAACCGCGCCCGGCCGAGCCCTCCCCACAAGCCCTACCTCGGCGAACGCGCCATTCCGCCCTCGACCTTCCAGACGTCGAAGACGGCCCTGCCATGCCTGCGCCCCGTCTTTCAATGCCCCTGGAGAACATGTACGACGACGACGATAGTTTCCACAGTGCCCCACCACGGCAGTCTCTCCTACCAGACCTACCAGACGACGTCGATGGCGGGACTGTACAATCACTCGAGTTTGGACGGCGAGCCATCAGTGAGGATCCACGCTTCATGTTCACGGGAAGGCAGAGTGAGCGATTCGGCGACCTAAGCGAGCTCGGGGCGGTCCAGGAGGAGTACGAGGTCGATGGCACCTTCATCAACACGCGCGCAGATGGCCTCTTTGATCCTGCAATCGACGAAGCTCTAGATGGAGAGGAAACCACAGTACAAGCACTGACCGGGCGAAGAGACGCAAGGCCGAGTGAGGAGGATTTGGGCGTATTTGGAGAGGCAGAGGACGATTTAGAAGAGCCTACCTTCCGCTTTATGATACCGGAGCGCATGCGTGTGCCAGCCCAAGAAGACGTACAAGCATTCCAAGACGAGCGGGAAGAAGACCAACAAGACCCGGATGACGAGCTTCTGCGCCAGTCCGATGATTACGACTCACTCAACAGCGACGACAAGGACGGAATAGCTGCTGCTTTCGACGGCAAAGACCAAACAGTAACCGCCGGCATGTTAGGTTGGGCATCAGATCCCCCTGCAGACAACGACGCGGAACTAGTCGCCTATCGAGAAGAAGAATCTGCAATTGATCGAAGCCTGCAGGCCAAGTCGCCCAAGCAAACACATGTAGCCCAGATGAAGAGTGTTCGCAAACCGAAAGAATACATGGTATCCGAACACGGTATCGGCTTCCCCTCGTTTCCAGCCGCGCCTGTCAAGAAGCTCACTTTGAGCTTCTTGAAGTCGCAGGGAGGCAAGACCCAACTCAATACGGAAACACTCGACGCACTCGTACGCACGACCAACGACTTCTTCGAGCAGATTAGCATAGATCTCGCAGCATATGCACAGCACGGTGGACGAACGACGATTGAAGAAAGCGATGTCATCGCGCTTATGAAGAGGTATGCTGCTCTACTCGACTCTGCTTGGCGTACATGGCGTGCAGACTTATAGCAGACGTATACGTTCGGTACACTGACTTTCAAGCAGGACTCGCAAGACCACCGGTACCTGTACCTCGTTTTCTCTGGCGCAAAGGATGCTTCCTAGGGAGTTACTTCAGCAGCTGCGTATGGAGCGTCCGGCCAAGTTGAAGAGATATAAACGGAAACGATTGAATGCTGTCCGTGAGGAAGACGAAGATGACGACTGAAAAGGCACGGTAATGTCTCACGACCAATCAACGCTGTGGCGTACTCTCCGTTGGGTGCCCGACATGGGCTTCTTGACGACCATCCAAAACATGACTGAGGTCGCGAAACTGAGCGCGTACCTACTTGGAGTTAGATGATTGCTTGCAGGAAAAGAGCGAGGCGGCGAACCGTACCATGTGAAGATGTACTGCGTGTGGTTGTTTCGTAGGTTCACGGTGGGCGCCCTACCAATCGGTACGCCCTTGGGTTCACGTTCATAATTTGTGAGCAAATCAGGCGCTGTGTCATAGTTAGATACCCCAATCACATCATCGAAGAAAGATAGATTACTTACTCATCGTCTCCTCCACCCACACAGCCTGACTCCCGCTATACTCGGCCATCTCCTCGACACTGGGAAAGAACCACTTTCCCTTTTCCGGCTCGTTTTTCGGCGTAAACATGTTGCCCTTGGGCGGTATCCTCAACAAGCCCTCAATCGTAACCTCACCCTCAGGCAACGCCCCATTCTTCTTGCGAAACCACTGCGGCGCAGCGTCCTTCTTGATCCACCCCCTACACGCCAATATCTTATGCACATTGCCGCGCGCATCCCGCCGTTCGAGCGGCGTAACAACCGTGTACCCCTCTTCGCCATCCAAAATCCGCGGCCCAATCAACATTTCCTGATCATGTCTCAACACGCCCCTCGCATAGACCCTGCGATAGTCAAAATCCTGAATTGCAGCCGGGTCGATTCGCAGCGGGAGTTCGAGAGGCGGGAAGGTCAATCTATCTTCAAAGCGGGCGACTAATTCGGTTTTCCAGCCCAGACGCTGCACTTGCCAGCATCCTAGTATGAAGGCTGTGACGGGGATTATCGCGAGGATGATTAGGCCGGGCCCATGTTGTTTTCCTACTCGCGCCATCTTCGCCGGCCGGTCGAGAATCGAGACGAAACTTGGGTCCAGGCCGGGGCCGCCGCCCACTCGGCGACTTTGTGAGCGGAGGAAGAGGATGCGTGTGTGCGGACATTGGGGTCGCGTGGGTGGGGGACGGGCGTGGGCGGTGCGGAAGAATGCCGATGCGGGCTGTGAGTAGTATCGCCGGAAAAGCTTGAGGAATGGATTTGGTTTCGACATGGCGGGTGGTTGGGTGGATGGAAAGTTGGGAATGGCTCAGTCGTGTCGGATATGCGGGCTGCGAGCTACCCGGCTGCTAGACGCCGATGCGGTATGGTTCCCGCGTCTTAGCACCCGCCAACCTAAGCCTGGCTCTGGGCTGATCTCGACCCGTGGACCTCCCATCGCACTGCTCCTCTTACATCACTCTTTTTTCACTCCCATCCATGCAAGACTGCAACATCATGGCGGATGCACAGGACCCACCAATGGATCGAGCAGAGATGGCTGCGAGGCGGGACAAAGATGCGCTTCTTGATGTTTTGGATACTCGACTTGAACACTATTTGCATACACTGCATGAATATCACGACATTATGCAGCAGCTTTCCGCAGAGCTGTCCTCGGTAAGCAATGTTTACGTTTGGTTAATGGCACGTGGTGTTGATGCCAACAAGGGTTACATGTCGCTTGCTCAAGCAAACTTTTACAATTCCTCCTCTGCGATCCGGTACGGACAGGACTGCTATGACGAACGTATGCAGAGTGTACGCAAGGTGTGAGTTCTACAGTTTCCTTCGAGATTTCATAGCTACCAGGGGTGCTACAACGATCCTCTGGAATGTCTATCTACCTTATGTGCTCTGTTGACAGACTACAGCCATGTCTCCGAACACGGATGTACCAAGAAGAACGATCGACCCCATTTTTCCATCAAATCTTCCGCTACCACTCGCCAGGACGCGAGCCTTGACAACCACATGAGATCAACAGAACAAGCGAACGAAGTCCAAGGACCGGGCCTCCCTTCCACAGGTTCAGAAGCTAGAGAAGGAGAAACAGGCCCTACTTCCGATTTGGATGACGAACCCGCCCAAGGATCAAGGGACAACCAAGAAGAAACCGGATCTGTCGGAAAGCCTACAGATCCTCTCAGATGGTTTGGTATCCTTGTTCCGCCCGCACTACGTACTGCGCAATCGACATTTGTAGGTGCAGTCGAAGGCCCAATCCCCCAATTAGCCACCGTTGTGAGAGATCTACGGGCCCAAGAGATCGAAATTGGGAGGGTGAGGAAGCAGATTAAAAAAATGTAGAGACGAGTCAGGTGCTGCTTGTGGGGGTTTTGGGGAAAATTGTGCACGAGCACTGGGTTGCGCGCATTCGACATCGTGACTTGGGTCGGCTGCAGATTGTTGCGCGTACTTTAGACTAATCAGTAGCATTACGCGTTGTCGCAACTCTATATTTACTCATGGTATTGATTTTGCCGACTGGAGACAAAAGTAGCTCCAGATGGGCATATATCGTGCGATCGTTCATCTCCGCTCTATTGGTGGTCAGCCGCAGTAGCACAATAATCTGGTCGTTTTATTCCCGTGTGTGCTGGTAGGGGAAGGCTCACTAGACTTGAGACGATTTCTTTCTCGATCATGAAAACTTTGCCAGATCAAGATAGTGGTGCGAGCTGTGCCACCTTTGTTGCTTGTAAAGCAATCGTTCATATTGCCAACTTCACGGATACTGCCGGAGAGGGTTACATCAAGGTAGTAGCCATGAGCCTAGTGCTACATGCATCCACATCGTATGGGTTTCAACATTGGTGTAGTATGAACCTCGCCCTATATACAGTCGCACGCTCACCTAGATATCCGCGTTCCTCAACCCTCGTTTGAACCTATCCAACGCCCTAGCTTTCGTCTCTTTCCAGTCCACATGCGGTTTTGGATAACCCAGCTTGTCGAACTCGCTCTTCGACAACCTCGCGTAAGGAGCAAATACCGCCTTTCCCTTGACATCTTTGAGCTCTGGGACCCATTTACGGATATAATCACCATCAGGATCGTTCTTCTCAGCCTGAGAGACGGGGTTGAAGACGGTGTAAGAAGGCTCCCAGCCTTGGGTATTGTTGGAAAGGTCCCAGTCAATCAGAGTTTCGGCAAAGTAACGTTCGCCGCGGCGGTAGTCGAGCAGGAGGTTGCAGTAGAGATAGGAGGACACGTTTATACGTAAGCGATTGTGCATGTATGCCTCTACTTTAAGCTGCCTTATGTGTTAGTTAGGATTCTATTACGTAATTTACTTACTAGCGTCGCTCTAGTAGTATATATATAGAGCTTTCTCTCTCTTATATAGAATAATTATTATATTTTTCTCTTTTTATTTTATAGATTATAAGCTTTTACGCTACTATATATAATTTAGCTACTTCTTTTTACGCTATAGTTACGTAATAATTTTTAAGTATTACTATTATATAACTTAGTTTTTAACTTTTTAGCGTACTAACTACTATATATTTTTTTTTTTTTTACTTATTTTCTATAAACTATTTTATTACTTATAATATTTACTATTAATAATATTACTTTTACTTTAAGTAAAAACTTTAAAAAGCTTACTAGTTCTAATAACTACTAAAACTAGTCTAAAGCTTTTATTAAGGTTACCTTTATCTATAGTTATATAAACTACTATAATAATACTAGTAAGAACTCTAAAAAGCTTTTACTTTCTACTTATATTACTTTCTATACTATATATTCTTAGTCTACTACTAACTTATATAAGAAAGCTACTATTCTTACTTTAATTTTATTTAATACTACTACTAAGCTTACTATTTATAACTATACTTTTTAGTAGTAAAAGAAGTATAATAAGTTTATATACTTTACTATTACTTTTCTTTATATATCTATTAAACTATAGATTTAGTAGAAGCTTAAAAAGCTTAATATACTTAATTTTTATCTTATATACTATACTATCTAAGCTAATAATAAAGCTTTTAAGAATATCTTAGTTAACTATACTTTATCTAAGCTAGATAAGATTACTATAACTAATTTTACTACTATTTAGTCTTTTCTATTTAAGTTTTAAAGAATATTTTATAACTTTTATAATACTAGTAAAACTTTATTATATTTATAGTTAATTAATAAGATTAATAGAGTTCTTCTTTACTAGTATAATACGTTTCTTAATTACTAGAAGCTTTTCTACTATAGTACTTTTATTACTAATAATATTTTTAAAATTTATAAAACTTTTCTTTTTAACTACTAAAATAATAATAAAAATAAGTAAAACGCTTTTAAGAATAAGCTTCTTTAAGTAATCTTAGTAGCTAACTTTTATACTTTCTATATTCTTAATAATAATTTTAATAAGTTTACTTTCTCTAAGTATAAGTACTATAGTAATATTAAATACTCTATTACTACTTATTATTATATTAGTAAGTCTAATACTTCTATATATACTTTTTATAGAAAGCTTAGTTATATTACTACTACTTATTATAAAAAGAATTACTAGGCTATCTACTCTAACTAGTCTACTTCTAGTATAGCTACTACTTTAAATATAGACTTTATACTAGCTAATATAAATAAAAATACTTTCTTTATTAACTATATTATTATATCTACTTATAACCTCTTACTTATATCTACCTTTAATAGCTCTAATATTAACTAACTAAATATTAACTATATATATAACTACTCTATATCTATTTTTAGTACTAACTTAGCTTAGAACTCTAGGTATTTTACTAGTTTAAAAAAAACTAACTAAATAGTTAGTAGGTATATAGGTCTAGATATAGTTAATAGTCTTAATATATCTATATTTATAGTAACTACTTCTACCTCTATATTTATATACTAGGTATATAATAGTAGTATCTTATAATATATTACTAATAATCTTACTTTTTTCTCTAAGCTAGAATACTACTCTAAGTATATTAGCGTATATAAATAAGAATTATAGCTTAAGATTACTAGAAAAAATACTATTAAGTTTATTATAACTACTTAGAATAAAACTTATATTATTCTATAACTTAATAATATATAGTATATATCTACTACGTAGTATAATTCTCTTTCTATTACCTTTTTTATTTACTTAGACCTAGGTTACTATACTACTACTACTAGGTATAATAGTATACTTTTTTATTAAAAGTTTAATAATAAAGAAATTATAGTTATACCTCTTTATATTAGAGTAAATGTATATATCTTATATACTACACTCTTACTTAACCTTTTTACTATAGCTATAGTTAACTTATAAGAGACGTTAATAGATAAGATAATTATATTAAGTTAAGTACTAAGTAAGATATTACGTATAAGTTAAAGAAAGCTATATAGGCTAAACTTTAATATTTAGCGCATAGGCTCTCTACTAGCGCCTTAGTAAGCAGAGGTTATAAGTTTAATCTATAATACTACTCTCTCTTAAAAAGAGAGTAAGTTCTAACACTTAAACTACGTATAAAGAATAAAGAAAATAAGAAACTATTATATAAAAATATACCTATTTTGTAAAAGCTTCTATAGGCTAAATATATTACTTTATTTATCTATTTTATTACTATATTCTATTAATATATTTATAGTTATACTAATTACAGCCTTAATTACGTATATTATATCTATCTTAGTGCGTGTGCGCTTATGTTAGCTAGGTGCGTTATTATAATAGTATTATTATAATAGTGTTATATATACGTAAGCGCGCGCGCGCGTTAAAGAAGTTCTACTTAGTTAGTTTAAATTATAAGTAGTAGAGTAACATTAGCGTGCGCTTATAATAGTAGTAACTTAATAGTTAGTTCTTACTATAAGTATAGCGTTAGTAAGTCTCTTAGAAAAAAGATATAACTTAACTAACACTCTTAATTATTATAAGTATAACTAACTATTCTAGTCTTACTATTACTTACGTCTGCTATTATTACTATAGAACTTCTAGTAATTATCTACGTCTTGCTTTATAATAGAGTTACTAAGTTTAACTAAGAGTAGTAACTAGTAGAATAATTCTAATAATACTATTACAACTACTAGGTATTAGGTAACTATTATCTAAGCGTAGTTAGAGCTGTAAAGTTATATAACTAATATATTCTATTTACTAGTAAGAGACTTAAACTTTCTATATATAGTAGGTTTGCTAGAGTAGTTATAGTAGTATTATATTATAATATTAGTAGCGTCTACTAGGTTTATATAAAGCTTCTAGAATAGATTATTAAGCTCTTTAGAATAGTTAGCCTATTAAATAAGATACTAAAGAAGTCTAGAGGCTTTAGCTTTACTCTTACTCTTACTCTTATACTAGCGTAACGCAGAGTTCTTTAACGTTATATTAATATAATAGTCTTTAATTACTTCTACTATATATTTAGTACTATTCTTAACCTCTAGGTTAAACTTAGCTAGTACCTCTAAGTTAGAGACTTATCTAGAAAAAAGCGCATTATTAATAAGGTAGAGAAGCTAAGAATAGAAGACGTTATAAATGCGCTTTATATTAATAGGCAGATTAAGCTTATATATAGTGTTATTAATTGCCTATATAATAGTAAAGAAGCTATAGTTCTTAAGATCTAGTAATATAGAAAAGTAATATATTCTTAAATTATAAGTATCTAATATAATCTAGTTACTAACTTTAAATATAGAAGTAGACAGGCGTCTATTATTAGCGTATTTAGCTTACTTAGTCTAAGCCTATTATATAGAAGTTTATAGCTTATATTATAGTAACTTTATATAATTAGTAAATATATTAGTGTTAAGACTCTTATAGCGCGCTAGCGTAGTAATAGTAGTTATTAGCGTTAGTAGTTTAATACTACTTCTTAGATAATAGCTCTTAGTTACAAAGAAGAGTAACTTACTAGTAGTAGAACTAGTGCTAGAGTTTGCCTTAAACTTAGCTATTAGCAGAAATAATACCTAGTTATTTTACTTATAGTTAACGTAAGACCTAAGGTATTATTTAAGATATAAGTTAGTATTCTTAGTCTATCTATTAGTTTAGAGGTAGTAAGTAGTAGAGAACTTAGATTATACGCCTAACTACTAATAAAGCTATTTCTAGAAATAGAAGATAAACTAAGAACTATAATCTAAGATAATCTTCTTAGAGAAGTCTTCTTTACGCTAAACGTATTTAATAAAGATAATAACTAAGGCGTTAGTAGTTATACTAGCTATAGAAATAAACTTCTTTTTTTTAGTAAGTTAGTTAATAATAATAAGAATATTAGTAAACGTCTAACTATTATATTTACAAAGTAGTAGGTAGGTAATAAAGTTTATAAAAATACTTAACTAGTACTTATTAGAAACTAGTAATAGGTAAAGTAGACTATACTTACTATCTCTATAGACTTTACTTCTCTTATATATTAAGTAAGCGCGCATATACTAAGTAATATTAGTAGTTATCTATAGCTAGTAATACTATTATAATAACTTAGAATAGAGTTTATACTTACTACTATAACTACTATAGACGCTCTAGTAAGCTTATTTAATAACCTAAGTTTATACAGCACTAGTAGAGATATAGACTTTATTCTATATATATAGTAAGTTATTAGTAATTTTATAATTACCTAGTTTAAGTCTTAGATACTTTTTACTATAAATAAGCTTAAAGAGCAACTTCTATAATTTCTTCTTCTTAGCTTTAATAATTACTTATAGCACTACGTTATTCTTATACATAGCTTTAATATTATTAAGTAGAGCTTTAATTAAAATCTTAGTAGGTAGAAACGTAGTTAGAGTAGTAGGTAGAGGCGTAGTTAGAGTAGTAAGTAGAGGCGTAGTCTAAGGCGCAGTTAAAGTAGTAGGTAAAGACATAACTAAAGAAGTAGATAAAGTTATAGCTATTAGATTTGTAGTAGAATTGTCTTAAGAAGTAGTAGGCTTTATAATAGAAGATATAATAGGTTCTACAAGAGAAGGTAGTATTATAGTAAGTAGTGTTATAGCGTTAGATAAATTTGCTATATATAGAGTTATAGTAGATAAGTTTATAATATAATTATACGTAATAACGTAATTTTACGTAGTAATATTACTAAAGCTACTACTTTCTTCTCTTTAAGAATTAATGCTAGGTAGTATAGTAAGAAACGCGTAGTGTTTAGAAACGTTATCTTCTTTACTAAGTTAATAAAGCATCTACGTAATAGTAGAAATAGA